TTTTAATCTTTTTTTTTTTTTTTTTTAACGTTTATTTATTTTTGAGACAGAGAGAGACAGAGCATGACCGGGGGAGGAGCAGAGAGAGAGGGAGACACAGAATCGGAAACAGGCTCCAGGCTCTGAGCCATCAGCCCAGAGCCTGACGCGGGGCTCGAACTCACAGACCGCGAGATCGTGACCTGGCTGAAGTCGGACGCTTAACCGACTGCACCACCCAGGCGCCCCCGACACCCCCATGTTTATAGCAGCACTACCGACAATAGCCAAAGTATGGAAAGAGCCCAAATGTCCATCGATGGATGAATGGATAAAGAAGATGTCGTGTATATGTATATATATGTATATATATATATATATATATATATATATATATATATACACAATGAGGTATTACTCGGCAATCAAAAAAGAATGAAATCTTGCCATTTGCAACTATGTAGATGGAACTGGAAGTTATTATGCTAAGTGAAATCAGTCAGAGAAAGACAAATATCATATGATTTCACTCATATGAGGACTGTAAGAGACAAAACAGATGAACATAAGGGAAGGGAAACAAAAACAATATAAAAACAGGGAGAGGGACAAAACGTAAGAGACTCATAAATACGGACAACAAACAGAGGGTTACTGGAGGGGTTGTGGGAGGGGGGATGGGCTAGGTGGGGGAGGGGCATTAAGGAATCTACTCCTGAAATCATTGTTGCACTGTACGCTAATTTGGATGTAAATTTAAAAAATTAAATAGAAATAAAAATAAAAATAGAGGCGCTTGGGTAGCTCAGCTCAGGTCATGATCTCACAACTCGTGAGTTCGATCCCTGCATCGGGCTTTGTGCTGACAGCTCAGAGCCTGGAGCCTGCTTCAGATCTGTGTTTCCCTCTCTCTCTGCCCCTAACCCACTCACATTCTGTCTCTGTCTCTCTCAAAAGTAAATGAAGATTAAATAAATAAATAAATAAATAAATAAATAAATAAATAAATAAATAAATAAAATTCAAAGAAAAAATCGTGTAGGACATGTAATGTTACAATAATATGTTGAATAAATGAATACATTTATTGAAAAAAAAGAGAATTATGTTTTAGCCATACAGTAGAATACTGTGTAGGTTTCAAAGAACAATGTTAAGTCTGTGTGTGCAAATACATAAAGATGGCTACACTGTTTTAAGTGAAAAATCAAGATTAAGAATAATGCACTGAGATGGTAATGTGTTTAAAATAAAATGTGCAGTACAGCCACCTGAGAAGACAACACGGAGGGCGCCTGGGTGGCTCAGTCGGCTGAGCGTCAGACTTCGGCTCATCATTTCACGGTCCACAGTTCAAGGGTTCGAGTCCCGCGTCGGGCTCTGTGCTGACGGCTCAGAGCCTGGAGCCTGCTTCAGATTGTCTGTCTCCCTCTCTCTCTGCCCCTCAATTCTTGAGCTGTCTCTCTCTCTCTCAAAACTAATAAACATTAAAAAAAAATTTAAAAAGAAGATAATTTGGCAGTTTCTTATCAAGTTAAACATAGTCTTACCATGTAATCCACATTCACACGCCTAGGTATTTATACAAGTGAACTGAAAACATGTTCACACAAAAACCTGTCCACGATGTTTCCGATTCTGTGTCTCCCTCCCTCTCTGCCCCTCCCCCGTTCATGCTGTCTCTCTCTGTCCCAAAAATAAATAAACGTTGAAAAAAAAAAAATTAAAAACCTGTCCACGAATGTTTTCAACAGCTTTATTCATAATCATTAAAAACTGGAAACACCAAGATCCCAAGATATCCTTCAACTGGGAAAAGATACCCTAACTGTGGTACGATGGAATGTATATGGCAGAAGGTACACAAGGGAATACTACTGAGTGATAAAAAGGAACGGACTACTGATCCATGCAGCAACGTGGATAGATTTTAAATGCATATTGCTCAGTGAAAGGAGCCAGAACCTAAGAGCTACGTATGTTATTCTGGAAAAGGCAAAACTATAGAGACAGAAACCAGACAGGTGGCTGCCAGGACTGGTGGGGCAGGGAGGGACTGGCTGCAACGGGGGACACGCAGGGGAACTGCAGGCAATGCAACTATTCTATAGGGTCCGGCAGTGGTGGACACACAACCTTACGCACTTGCCAAAGCCCACAGAATGAACTGCAATATATGCAAATAAATTTCAAAAAATCAAAGAGGCTGGAATGAAGACTATGACAAACGACTGACTGTATCACAAATGTATGACAAGGGGCGCCTGGGTGGCTCAGTCGGTTAAGCGTCCGACTTCGGCTCAGGTCATGATCTCGCGGTCTGTGAGTTCGAGCCCCGCGTCGGGCTCTGTGCTGACAGCTCGGAGCCTGGAGCCTGTTTCGGCTTCTGTGTCTCCCTCTCTCTCTCTGCCCCTCCCCAGCTTGCACTCTGTCTCTCTCTCAAAAATAAACATTAAAAAATCAATTAAAAAGGCTTATTTATAAAAAAAAAAAAAAGAGAGAGAGAGAGAGAGAAAAACAAATGTATGACAAAACCTTACTGATGGGTTTCAGGGAAAAGGAGCTGCCGAAGTTAATGCTGGAAATCCCACGTTCTGCCTAGAACCGAGAAGGCAGGCACAGAAGGAACTCTCCTAACTGCTGTACTCTGGCTGTAAATCTGTTTCCAACAAGGGTCTGGCTCAGCAATTCTGAAACCACTTTTAAACACCCGGTGGGAGCCGTTTCTCACTGTCAGAGAGGTAGGTTACAGAAAAACAAGAAGGGAAGGCGAGAATCAACACCAGTACCTTCATCAGAGTCAGAAACCCCGGGAGGAACCTAGGTGTCGCTTACTGTACAGACAGATGGATTACACGACGTTACGGACACATGCAGGCCTGGGAGAGTGTAAGCGTCCCACAAAGTAATGCCATTCCAGTGGCAACAAGCACTTCCAATGCCCAGATCTTGGTTTCTAGATACCACATTTCACGTTCTTGGAAAAACAGCCGATCCTAGGGCCGGAACAGAGAAAATACAAGACAGGTCTGGTATTCTCTAGTCATCAGAAAATAAGGGAGAGCTCAAAACTTGAAAGGATGAGCGCCTGTCAAAGGAACACTGGGGCCACGCTCAAAGAACTCTCAACGACCAAAGCTGGAGAAGCTGAGGAACAAAATGCACGATGGAAGAAAGGAACAAAGCATGCGACGGTTAACTGCAGGTGTCCACCTGAACAGGCCACAGAACGCAGGCACCTGGTCAAGCGGCACTCCAGATGTTTCTGTGGAGGTATTTTTCAGACAAGATCATAATTTAAATCGGTAAATTTCGAGTAAAGCTGATTACCCTCCATAAGGTGAGTGGGCCTCATCCAATCAGTTGAAGGCCTTAATTTTTCAAAGACCAACCTCCCCCAAAAGGAAATTCTGCCGACACACTGCCTTCAGAGTTGAACTGCAACATGAAGCCTTCCGTAGAGCTCCAGCCTGCCAGCTCCCCTACCGATTCTGGGCTTGTCAGCGTCTACAATCACACACCATGATTCATAAGTACGACATACACGTACATATATACCACATATGTGTATCTCCATCCTTCCGGTTCTGTTTCTCTGGAGAACCCTACTAATACAAATTTTAACCCAAAGTAAAAAATACAGCACACAAGCCTGTGGAGCTCCTGGCCGGCTCAGTCACTAGAGCACGTAACTCTTGATCTCAGGGTATTCAGTTCAAGCGCCATGTTGGGCACGGAGCCTACTTAAAATTTTTTAAAAAGTCTATGCACAATAAATCACTGAATAAACAAATAAATAGGGGAGAAGTGACAAGCCTTCCTTACAGAGGAATTCCAAATAATGTTAAGACAAGACTCTCCCCTCGGGGAGGTGGGGCCTAGTCCCTCCTTCCCACACGAGTGGGGGCTGGACCTAGCTTACAAAGAAAAGGACAGAAAAGGGGGAAAACTCACTTTACAGTGGAGAAACCTGGCCAACACTGCCTCAACCATGTGGGCAAAGTTCACACGACCAATGCCGTCGTGTGGTAATTAAGGGCCACTGGTCAACGTGATGCGGAGGGAACTTCACCTCTGCAGTATTCTTTCTGAAAACCCATACCCCCAGTCTAATCCTGAGAAAAACATTAGACAAACCCAATCTGAGAGGCAGTCCACAGTTTACCTAACCAGTATTCCTGAAAACTAGAAAAGCCACGAAAAACAATAAAACTCTGCCAACAGAAAACTCACCCAACAAAGCAGACTAGGAAGACAGGACAACAGACACAATGTGGTGTCCCAGATGGGCTCCTGGGACACAGAAGTGGAAGGCAGGTAAAAACTACGAAAACCTCAAGTATGAACTTTAGTTAACACGCATGTAAAAATGGGGCGCCTGGTGGCTCAGTCGGCTGAGCGTCCGACTTCCGCTCAGGTCACCATCTCACGGTTCGTGGGTTCCAGCCCCACGTCGGGCTCTGTGCTCACAGCTGGGAGCCTGGAGCCCGCTTCGGGTTCTGTGTCTCCCTCTCTCTGCCCCTCCCCTGGTCACGCGCTCTCTCTCAAAAATAAATAAACCTTAAAAAAAAATTTTTTTAAGTAACAATAATACTGTAAAAGTACTGGCTCATTAATTGTAACACATGTGCCATACTGACGTGAGATGTTAGCAAACAGAGGAAACTGGGTACAGAATATATAGGAACTCTCTATGCTATCTCTGCGTTTTTCTAATAAATCTACAACTGTTCTAAAATTAAAAGTTAAAAAAAAAAAAAGCTTATCACAATGGTATTGCTTCCCCAACAGCCACACACCATATGCCTTGCACCTCAAAGAGAGCAGCAGGAAGTACAGAGAGCTCTCACCCAGGCCACCAGTGCACCTGCAAGAGTTAAATATAAACCAACGGGATGACAGTTTGGTTCTGTTCCACCAAGCAAATGCTAAGGGTAGAAGCAGCAGCAAGGGTATAGTCCTAAGGGAGAGATAGAAACAACCAGGGAGGACACTGAAAAATACAAGATTTCTCAGGGGAACGACCACACCATAAATGTTCACAGCAGTTTGTAAAAAGATGTTATGAAGTCCCAGACTTCTAATGATGACAATATAAACTGTCCTATGCACTGTTAAATAAAAATACACATATCATCCTCTACTTACCTCGGGCAAAAGAGTATTAAGGAAGGTCTCAGAATAACATCCCTCTCTACATAAGCCCTCAAATAGATACTTTAGTTTCAGAATGCTCCAGCACAGATGAGAAATAGACAAACCCAAAACATCAGGTGAGGCCATGAGCAACAGTAGCTCCCCTTCCAGAAGTCGCCAAGTTCCCACAGTCTGACAAGCAGCAAGCCATTCTATAACTAGCACAGTCTTAGGAATAAGGTGACCCGGGTGGAAACCTATTTCTGCCATTTACTTGCTAAACGGATCTGGAAAAACAGCTTCTGGATCCTGGGCTACGTTCCCGAAAGAGAATGAGTATATAACCGGAAGCTTAACGAACTCAACTCCAAAGACTAAGATTTTCACTGAATCTCTTAACACTAAAGGACCTTCCTTCCAGAATTTCAGTTTCCTAAAAAAAGCAAAATACAACAAAAAGAAAAAGAATCAAATGTTAACAGAGGCTTCAAAGGGATGGCTGATATTTACGTTACATATACTTTATCTTTTTCAAACCTACAATAATGTTCATCTGTAATTAGTAAAATTATTTTAAACCATACATATGCCATTTTCCTCTAGAATGTCTTGACTTGGGTCACCAAAGATTTATTCTAAATATATTTGACTCACCCTCAAAAAGGAAAAATCAAAGGAACATATGACCCCAAAGACACCTTAGGACTTAAGTAGGAAAGGACTAACTACATCAACCCATTGGTATACTCTCTATGTCGATCTAATTTAAATACTATTAAAGACAGCCTCAGAGATTAAAGAAATCTAATTGTCCGGTTTTGCTATTGCGAATAAGCCAAACTTAAGTTTCCGCTTCTGGAAAATGTGGTCAGCCACCTGGGTAGGGAGCCTAAGGTGGCTAAGGTAAAGGACCAGAGAGAAACTTTAAAGACTTAAAAAAAAAAAAAAAAAGGAAAGAGAAAAGCCAAAAGCCAGGGGTGGTGGTGGAAAGGACACCTTCATTTTTGTGGCAATTTATAGAGTTGGGAAAACCACAGCCACAGTAGGTAGAACTGTCCATTAAACTGCTCTGAGAGAAAAAATTAGGACCTTGCTGAGACCCGGAAGGCATTCCAACAAAAGTCATTTGGTCAAAGCTATACCTGTAGAAAGGGCAACAATGTCTATTAACCAGTATTTGTCTATAAATCTCTGCCTTCCCAGCTAGGTAGGGAAGCCAGGGATTGTATCATGTAACCCCAGGGCCAGGCATACAGAAAGAATTGTTTACCCAATGGAAGTATTCCAATTGTTTTGCTTCCTATCTTAAAAGACTTAGTTCACATGTCCTGAAGTCCTGGGGCGGAGGGGGGGCAGGGCAGGGACCCAGTAAGGTAGTTCTAACCCATTCAATAATTTATTGGTTGCCTGCTATGCTATGTTTCAATCACCTTTCTAAGGCATCTGTGATGTCAACAGTCAAAAACAAACAAAACCCTCTGTCCTCGGTGGTGGGATGGGGAAACAGGTGAAGGGGACTGAGGGCACACTTGTCATGATGAGCACAATGGGCAACTGAGAAATGCATAGAATTGCTGAATCACAGTATCCTACGACCGAAGTGTAACACTGCATGTGAATTATACTTGAATAATCTCTGTCCTCATGGAGAGAATCATCTAAATGTCATTCTCCACCCTGTCCAGAGCAGTGAGACTCAAAATATGCTCCATTAACTGGCGCTGATACAGAAAACCGTTACTGGTCCGTGACACATGATGCCAAGCAAGCATTTAGAAACTCATGCAGTCACTGCATATGAACCTAGTAGTATAAAGTAGGCTCAAATTTACGTCTCTTTAATTTCTCTCTAATTCATTTTTTATTGTTTTTCTAAGGATCATTACATAATTAATTACAACTTTTTTAAGTGGGTCTTTCAGGGTGTCTGGCTGGCTCAGTTGGTGGAACACGAGACTCTCAGTTTCGGGGTTCTAAGTTTGAGGCTCACGCTGGGTGTACAGGTTACTTAAAAATACAATCTTAAGGGGCGCTTGGGTGGCTCAGTCAGTTAAGCGTCCGACATCGGCTCAGGTCACGATCTCACAGTTCGTGAGTTCGAGCCCCACGTCGGGCTCTGTGCTGACAGCTCAGAGCCTGGGGCCCGTTTCCGATTCTGTGTCTCCCTCTCTCTCTGCCCCTCCCCTGTTCATGCTCTGTCTCTC